ATATGTATAGATGGGCTGCATATCGTATGGTCTCATACATGTTTTTGCAGAGATGAGACCATATGTATAGATGGACTGCATATCGTATGGTCTCATACATGTTTTTGCAGAGATGAGACCATATGTATAGATGGGCTGCATATCGTATGGTCTCATACATGTTTTTGCAGAGATGAGACCATGTGTATAGATGGGCTGCATATCGTATGGTCTCATACATGTTTTTGCAGACATGAGACCATGTGTATAGATGAGCTGCATATCGTATGGTCTCATACATGTTTTTGCAGAGATGAGACCATATGTATAGATGGACTGCATATCGTATGTTCTCATACATGTTTTTTGCAGAGATGAGACCATATATATAGATGGGCTGCATATCGTATGGTCTCATACATGTTTTTTGCAGAGATGAGACCATATATATAGATGGGCTGCATATCGTATGGTCTCATACATGTTTTTGCAGAGATGAGACCATATGTATAGATGGGCTGCATATCGTATGGTCTCATACATGTTTTTGCAGAGATGAGACCATATGTATAGATGGACTGCATATCGTATGGTCTAGTACATGTTTTTGCAGAGATGAGACCATGTGTAAAGATGGGCTGCATATCGTATGGTATCATACATGTTTTTGCAGGGATGAGACCATGTGTATAGATGGGCTGCATATCGTATGGTCTCATACATGTTTTTGCAGGCATGAGACCATATGTATAGATGGGCTGCATATCGTATGGTCTCATACATGTTTTTGCAGACATGAAACCATGTGTAAATAGGATGGCTGCATATCGTATGGTCTCATACATGTTTTTGCAGAGATGAGACTATGTGAAATAAATGGGCTGCATATTTGTATGGTCTCATACATGTTTTTGCAAGGATGATACCATATGTATGGATGGGCTGCATATCGTATGGTCTCATACATGTTTTTGCAGACATGAGACCATGTGAATAAATGGGCTGCATATCGTATGGTCTCATACATGTTTTTGCAGACATGAGACCATGTGAATAAATGGGCTGCATATTGTATGGTCTCATACATGTTTTTGCAGGGATGAGACCATATGTATGGATGGGCTGCATATCGTATGGTCTCATACATGTTTTTGCAGACATGAAACCATATGTATAGATGGACTGCATATTCATTATTGTTTTGCAGAGATGAGACCATGGGTATAGATGGGCTGCATATCGTATGGTCTCATACACGTTTTTGCAGAGATGAGACCATGGGTATAGATGGGCTGCATATCTTATGGTCTCGTACACGTTTTTGCAGAAATGAGATTATGTGTATGGATGGGCTGCATTTCGTATGGTCTCATACATGTTTTCGCAGAGATGAGACCATATATATAGATGGGCTGCATATCGTATGGTCTAGTACATGTTTTTGCAGAGATGAGACCATATGTATAGATGGGCTACATATCGTATGGTCTCATATATGTTTTTGCAGACATGAGACCATATGTATAGATGGGCTGCATATCGTATGGTCTCATACATGTTTTTGCAGAGATGAGACCATATGTATAGATGGGCTACATATCGTATATATGGTCTCATACATGTTTTTGCAGACATGAGACCATGTGTATAGATGGACTGCATAGCTTATGGTCTCATACATGTGTTTTTGCAGAGATGAGACCATGTGTATAGATGGGCTGCATATCGTATGGTCTCATACATGTTTTTGCAGAGATGAGACCATATGTATAGATGGACTGCGCGCATATCGTATGGTCTAGTACATGTTTTTGCAGAGTTGAGACCATGTGTATAGATGGGCTGCATATCGTATGGTCTCATACATGTTTTTGCAGAGATGAAACCATATGTATAGATGGACTGCGCGCATATCGTATGGTCTAGTACATGTTTTTGCAGAGTTGAGACCATGTGTATAGATGGGCTGCATATCGTATGGTCTCATACATGTTTTTGCAGAGATGTGACCATATGTATAGATGGACTGCATATCGTATGGTCTCATACATGTTTTTGCAGAGATGAGACCATATATATAGATGGGCTGCATATCGTATGGTTTCATACATGTTTTTGCAGAGATGAGACCATATGTATAGATGGGCTACATATCGTATATATGGTCTCATACATGTTTTTGCAGAGATGAGACCATGTGTATAGATGGACTGCATAGCTTATGGTCTCATACATGTGTTTTTGCAGAGATGAGACCATGTGTATAGATGGGCTGCATATCGTATGGTCTCATACATGTTTTTGCAGAGATGAGACCATATGTATAGATGGGCTACATATCGTATGGTCTCATACATGTTTTTGCAGAGATGAGACCATATGTATAGATGGACTGCATATCTTATGGTCTCATACATGTTTTTGCAGAGATGAGACCATATGTATAGATGGGCTGCATATCGTATGGTCTCATACATGTTTTTGCAGAGATGAGACCATGTGTATGGATGGGCTGCATATCGTATGGTCTCATACATGTTTTTGCAGAGATGAGACCATGTGTATAGATGGGCTGCATATCGTATGGTCTCATACATGTTTTTGCAGAGATGAGACCATGTGTATAGATGGGCTGCATATCGTATGGTCTCATACATGTTTTTGCAGAGATGAGACCATGTGTATAGATGGGCTGCATATCTTATGGTCTCGTACACGTTTTTGCAGAAATGAAATTATGTGTATAGATTGGCTGCATATCGTATGGTCTCATAGATGTATTTGCAGAGATGAGACCATGTGTATGGAAGGGCTGCATATCTTATGGTCTCATACACGTTTTTGCAGAGATGAGACCATGTGTATAGATGGGCTGCATATCGTATGGTCTCATACATGTTTTTGCAGAGATGAGACCATGTGTATACAGTAAAGACTGTTTACAGTGACCTTCGATGGGAGAAAAGAAAAAAGGTCACTATAGACAGGGAGTCACTGTGGACAGTCTCGGATAATTCGGATATATGAACATATCATACCAATGTTTTGTTGAAAAGCAGGATAGTACCATACTAAGGGTTTAATTATATTTTTATTGATATTAAACATATCAAATATCATTTATAAAAAACAAGAGGATATTAAAAGTGCATGTATTATTGGTTAAGATTATAATCTACACCATAACATTAGTATTTAAAAGTTACATATTCATTAAAATGTAATTAATATTGATAAATCTGTTTGTAAAAAAATGTTTAATTTCAATTTTACTAATGAGATGTTACTGTAGAGACATTTAATTTTGTATAATCGGCCTGTTTACTTTACGGAGTTCAATGTATAAATAAAACAAAAATAATAAAAAAAATACAAATCTTCACCTAATTTCTACAGATAAGTGCTCCGAAAAAAATTAACAATCGAGGTTTCAAACATAACCACACCTTTAAGACGTTTGGCATTGTTTATCTTTACTCGCCAAAGCACCGCAGCAATTATGTATATGCAGGTGTCTTTAATCATTCTATCGGCGAAAATTGATTGAATCTGTCGCCATTTTGTATAATTGTCAACAAACAGCCACAGTGTATTAGCTTGTCGCCGATTGGTCAATGCAAACTGCCGTAGATACAACGCGCGTTCTGATTCGTCAATCGCATGAATATGTAATAAGAAAGATAAACATAGTGAACTCTTGCCTTGCGGCGTGTATTTAACTTTGTTGATGTTGACACGCGTTCTTAATTAGCGGATTAACGATAATTGGTTGTAATTGAGAGGTAAACAAATTATTAACAGACCTAGCGGCGTAAATAAGTATGACGGAAAATTATAAAAATCGGGCGACTTCAAAATCTATTTGAAGTTTGTTTTAGGCAAAGTCGCTGATCCGAAGGCAACTTCTTCGCCAATGTCGTCACCTAGTTCAAGCCTTGCTCCCCTTGCAAAAGTCGCTGTTCACGGCTCAAATACCGTAACGGGTGACTAAATCATGGTCGTTGTACGGACTAGACAGGGAGTCGCTACATACAGACCATTTATATAGTAAATACTGTTCGGCGCACCTAGCTATGGTCACTAAAGACAGAACGTCGCTATATACAGGGGGTCGCTAAGACAGTCTTTACTGTAGATGGGCTGCATATCGTATGGTCTCATACATGTTTTTGCAGAGATGAGACCATGTGTATAGATGGGCTGCAAATCGTATGGTATCATACATGTTTTTGCGGAGATGAGACCATGTGTATAGATGGGCTGCATATGGTATGTTCTCATACATGTTATTGCAGAGATGAGACTTATCTATAGATGGGCTGCACATCTTATGGTCTATTACATGTTTTTGCAGAGATGTGACAATATATGTGGATTAGCAGCAGATCTTATGGTTTTAGTTTCAACTTTTCGGCATTTTCTAGTTGGGTGGTTCCAATATTCCTACTTGAATAACGTTGAATCACCCTTAGGATATGTTGCCTGCTTTTTAAATTTGTCTTTTGACGTCTTTTCTGTGATACGCAGGCTTCATAACCTCTGATCCCCTTTCAAAATTCCATTTTATTTTGTTCCGCCCACTGTTTTCTCGTTTAGGGCACACGCTTTTTATTACTTGTGTACCATACGCCGCTTTTCATGGAATGGCATGGAAGTGTCACATTGAAGGTTCTAGGATAACTGCCGTATGAACACATCTGCGGATGTTTCTAAATTCAAAATTTTACTATTTCATGTTTAAATGTTGAATGCTGCTTAAGCCTGTGCTAGGGGGCGTGGACGGTAACTTGCACTTTCCATTACCGTCCAGGAACAGGGTCAATCAAACCGAGACTGCAACATTTTCAATTTTGCCGTGTTGGGCTTTCTTTAGGGATTCCGGATTTATCAATTTCCTACATGGTAATGAATGTTCATATGAGACCACACTTATGAATTGGCATTCAGTGAAAAATAAGAGAAATAAGTGAAATTGATATATTCATTTCTTACATTCAAAATGTTTAACAATCTCTGTATACCTTTGGTAATGCAAAGAATACTAAAGTAATATTATTTAACATTGTTGTGTCTTTTCACAAAAGATTAGTTTCATTCAAAATAACTTGTGTTACAGTTATTGTTCACTATTACCAATTTTATACACTGATATATACAGTTCACATGTGATTCCACTCAATAAAAGTCACTTCAACTTTTAAAGCAAATTGAACTTACTTTAAGCTTTTGCAACAATTTTGGGTACAAAAAAAACCCAAAAGAACTATATGTTGCCTTAGATCTAAAAATCATTAATGTACTTTAAAGCAGCAAGCCTCTAGATTCATGCTAATTTTCATGAAAAATTTGAAAACTTATTTCTGTGTTATATTTTTGAAGTAACAAAAAGGAAGCAATTGATACATTATCAATGTCACTTACCAATCGAGTTAATTACCAAAAAGTGGTCAAAATATGAATTAATACCCTTTAGTGCATTAATAAATTATAATAACATAACACAGTAGAAATATAGCTTTAAATACTGAAAAATCAGTCATTAATCGCACATAATACAGTAAAAAGAAATGCCAGGCTTTTTTAATCTAAACAATGTAACAATTTCTGCTTTTATCTCTTCATGAGGCTTATTTTTGATTGAAAAGTTGCTGTATTTATTTTTCTACCAGTAAAAAGATAAAGAATATGCATTTTCTCTCATCTTTGCTCAGAACAATTAATCCAAAGAACCTAAGAAATAGTTTTATTTGGACTTATTATTATGAATTAATCTTTTTATTATTTTTATTCCATAAATAGAGTGAGCAATGCTTCATGAAATTGTCTGCTGTCATATATGATAACTGATCTTTAATACGTTTGAGCCCAGCATTTGCCTGTTCATTTGTTTGGCTGTTAAGGTAATTAAGTTGTGGGTACAAGTCCAAACAATATCCGTAACTGCATCCTGAAAAGATATAAAGCAACTGATAATTCTTAAGTTAGATCCTGAGTTAGTCAAAGGTTTATTTAAAATATTTTTCATTACTTTGAATTTAGGATTATGTTTGGTTGGGTTTTACATCATACCAACACAGTATACTGGTCATTTGTTGACGTTCAAGCTTTACTGGTGGAGGAAGACCTTCGGTGCCCTTCCATGCATTATTTCAGGCACGAACGGGCACCTGAGTAGAACCACCGAGGTTCCATAAGCCAGTTGGATAGCTTCCCCACATGAAAGAATTTAAAGTCCCTGTCATGATTCGAACCCACAGCAGTAAGGAGCAAGTGGTTTGAAGTCAAAAACTTTATCCACTCGGCCATGGACACCCCTTAGGATTAGATATTTTGCAATTTTCTTTAATCATCTTAAAGCTGCACGCCTCCAGATGAGCAAAAATATTTTGACAAAATCAAACCTGAGAAAACTGTACTAATATTTAAGGAAAAGTATAAAGATTCAAAATTCTAGTAATTATTTACAGGGTATATGCGATTAATTACATATTTTTCAGTATTTAAAACTATATTTGTATTGCGTTACTAACGCAGTTAACGCCATTTTTGTGTATTTCGACCTCTTTCTGGTAATTAACATGGGTTGTTCATGCCATTGATAATTTGTAAATTGCATTCCTTTGGTAACTTCACAATATTATACTGTTAAATACATTTGAAAATTTTCATTAATCTGGAGGCGTGCTGCTTTAAATCAAATCTTTATAAAAGAATGAACAGACTTGAATCTACAGGCTAGTCTTAGAATGTTACTTAAGAATGTCCCGACACATTGCTAGAATTACTGTAAAGCAAAATTCTAAAAACTTCATATTCATAGTTTTTATCACTTTTAAGAAATAAAGTACAATGTACTTACCACTATGGTTATCCCAATGTAGCCTATCGACAAGGAAAATTGTATCTTTAAAAAACAAAGGGTCTCTACTGATACAATATGAATGCAGTGCACAAGCATTGTCATATATGACAATCTTCGGGGCTGAAAAGAAAGAACTATTTCTCAACAACAATAATGTGTCTACATCTAATAAAGAAGATATTACATCAATGACCACTGCTATCAAATGCTTCTGTTAGCCATTGAATCACATCATAGATAAAGATTTACTAAATCAATTTGTGTGTGCATATTTCTTATATGTAAGTTGAACAAAATATTTCATAGCATTATAAATATCAAAAATATCACTATTTAAAGTTATTCACAACCACACTGTCAAGTAGAATCTGAATTTCAACTGTGCAAAGTATTTATCAACATGTTAATATTGAGAGAAGAACTGTCAGTTGTGAAGACATCAACCAGAAAACAACAGCATATGTTATCAAAGTGCTAAAAGCACAATGATAATAGACTTCAGAGGGTTCTTTTGAAAGCTCTTTTAGAAATTGCTCATGTCCTTTGACAGTTATATTTGGAATGATAAAATGATGTATATAATTTTATATATTTGTGATACATTAATTACCTTTCTTAAATCTGGTTTTAAATATTGTAAAAGGTACATCAGGGGATTCATTGCTTTGCATCACCTGGAAACCATAACATACACCTGAGAAAAAAAATAGAAACTGTTAGATCCAATATAAATTAAATCAATACATATATAAATATTATAAGAATAATGTTGCACAATGAAAAATAATAATTAAATGCTACCATTATAAAATGAGCTTATGTTCAATATAAATGAGTTTATAAAGTTTAAAATCTCTGGGCGAGGATGATTACAAAATGTAAATACTCTCATCAAAAGCAAGAACACATGTCTACATGCCTGATATTCATTCAACCTACCATTAGCCCATATGTACTTTGAGCAGACGGCAAAAATAATAAGTTATAACTGCCAAAAATAGATAATCTGTTTGGAATAGTTTGACTGAGTGGTTTTAAAAAAATCTTATAAGGTACATGTATAAGTTTACATAGAGTGATAGGGAACTTTGGCATTGCTCAAGAAGAGTAAATGGTGACAGCATATTCACTTACCATGGGGGCAAAATAGAGTGAATACTCCAGGTAGCAAAGATGGATGGCCTTTGTATCTTTTCCCGCATGCAGGTTTCGATCTAGAGGAATCCAGAGAGTAAATGCCTCGGGCTCTACATGTGCGCAAAGATGGAAAAAATGACATTTCATTCTCCTGCATCTGTGTGTCAGCATAATTATCCTTGGAAAGATTTTCAAATGGATACAATGAAATTTCCAGCAATTCGTGAAGTAGTGGCATCATTTCTTCTGGAATGTGGGACGTGCTGCACTGTTCCATTATCTCATAAATTATTGGAATATGTTGGTGTAATAACTGCCATTTTGTCAAATCTTCTTTTATCTTATACCCAGATATTAAATCTTTCATAAGTGAGTACACGGTTTCATTGGGGTGGATATATGCACATACTGGTGAAGATGAAGATAATGATGTTACAAAAGTTCGGAATTTTGGTGGCAGCCTTAAACTTCCATCATCCACAGATTTAAGAAAGAGCACCAATGATGGGAATTCCTTCAAAAGATGAAACAATTCTTGTTTTTCTGGATTACTTAGAATTTTAGCTTTTTTGCCCCGCACAACTTCACCTCCTACAGCATACCTATGGAGAAGATGTCTTGTTCTTACATCTGGTAAGAATATGCGATCATTAAAGCTGGAAAGGTAAAGGAATTATATCCATTATCATATTTAGACTAGATCAACAAATGTCATGAAGAACTATCAGTGATGACTAGCATAAGATTTATTCATTTTTCTTTGGAATGAAACATTGATGAATGCCCTATAGCAGTCTTATTTATCTTACCTAAATGAGCCCATATTATCAAAAGTTGATGGCATTATTCAGGGACATATCTTTAACGATTCAATAAAGTATAAAAAAAATGTTAGAGAGCCATAATGGCCATTAAATGCTCAAGTGACAATATTGCCATTATCGATCAAAGACAGCTCTGGCAGCCATTGTGTCCTGTAGAGCTCAATACTTTTAGCCATTTTGTTAAAGGGCCATACAGCAATAATTCTGTACAGTTTAGTTGAAATGGACCAAGTGGTTAAGGAGTTGTCATTTAAAGGTTTTCTATTAAGCTCTGGTGACCATTTTTTTGTAACAGAGAGCAGTTTGAAAAATGTGGAAAAAAATTTCATATGTTATGGCTGTTTTCTTTTGTTCATGCGGCCTATCAAGCTTTGGTGATTATAATTTATTTTTCTTCTTACAACTGTTATTTCAAAGAAATGTATTGTAGATTTTTATCAAGCATTAGAAGTTATCAAAACATATTTATACTTAGATTTCCCTTTTGGGCCACTGTCTTTGGGCAATTCCGAATTTTTGAAAGTCCACATTCTTCTTTGAAAAGAAAGTGAGGTCCCGTCACAAATGACAATTTCAGGACCACCATCTCCTGGACAATCTGGACAGGAAAACCCTTCTGTATAGTCTATATCAAGCAAATTTAGATAGGAAATCCATAAGCAGCCCTCAGCTTATGATATGAGAAATCTTGTAAGATATTGCTATTCCCACAATCTGCATGGTTGTCAACAAACACACTGTAGTAAGTGTAAAGGGGCCTTCTGAAAATAATCACATTTTTGATTTAGGTAACAACTATGCCAAGTAGCCACAATGTATGAATCTTATTCTGTTAAAAGATCTCACAGATACATTGAATGCCTCTTTATTATTGAAATTCAAAAAAGTACTATCATGTTATTTTTTTATAGGAAATACAAATAAAAAAAAAAATCTATTCAGTGCTATGGTGTAGTGCAGATAAGTGCTCTCTTTTTTCCTCTGACAGTATAGACATGCCAATATAGAATTTAAAGAAAAAAGCTATGACAATTTTAGACAAGTAATGGTCTGTCTTAACATTTGGTTGAGTTCTGTGTGTTAGGGCTCCTTGCTAGGACTTGAACCTAGAATTCTTACTGGAGTAAGTGTGTTACCTTACACTACAAGAAGTAATCCCATAATAACACAGAACTGTACCTCCTACACAATTACATCATGGACTGAGATGATCTATGTGCTGGTAAATATTGAAATAAATGCAAGAGTTAAGAGTTGTTAAAACTAAACACAGTCCAGACCTGTCAAAAAAGCTGTGATTGTATTTACCTTCCATGTAGAAAATTGTGCATCATGCCCAACAAGAAAACTTCCCATATTCAATAAACAATCATCAAGGCCATCATATAATGTTACAGAATCGCAATTCAAACATGGTCTATAGAAAGCTGTCAAGAAAACAAAATTTGGAAATGTACATAAATGTCAAAATTTTTAAATCTTGATGCTTTTAACTCATATGCATGTCTGTTTCCTCTGTTAGGACCAAACTATATTTAACAATGCAGATTTCAACATAATTAAGCATAAAATAAAACAACAGTTTTTAAGTCATAATTTCTGTGCCAGTGTTCAAGATAATAATAAAAAAAAGAGCTTACACAGGGCGGGGACAACACTTGATTTTTTTATTATTCTAAAAGCAAACAAATAAGCAGTTTAAACAAATCTTTAAAAAGAAAAGTTAAGATTAAAAATTATCACATGTCTGTTTGGTAACAATTTTTTTTTGTCCACATATGAATCAAATCCATACCTAAACTATTACCAGAATTACAATATAAACTTATTTAGGCCTTACATGTCCCGGATCCAAAAAACGTGTTTGTGATGTACATAACATTTTCTGATGCGATCCATCTCTCGGCAACTGGATCTTCCATGTTTAAATTTCCTCGACAGTGGCGGCAGATGCTTTCTCCTGGAACGAAAACAGGTTGTCCAGCAATCATTTTTATATTCTGTGCCACTCCATTTTTAAAAATTGCTTTCCCTGCTTCGGACATATGAAATGGAATTTTTCTATATGAATGGCACTTTGTCATGTTTGCTTTTGGTTTACTTTCAGTTGCCTCATCAGCTTCAGATAGTTCCTGCAGTTCTTGAAGAGCAGGAATGATGGTGTCATTACTTGCACATAATTCTTTGATTTTTTTGGAATGTTGGCAATAATTTTTTTTGCAACAATAGCAAAAAAATTTCTTTTTCACATAGGAAATAAGACCATGTGATCTTAAAGGCTCACACCAAACACGCACAACTGGCACATCTTCCATTCTGGTTGCCTCTTCTACCTGTAAATGCAAAACAGGAGGGCCATCATGGCCTTGAAATCGCTCACCTGAGTATAAAAACTCCTCATGATAAGGAACAAGTAATATTGTAAACTTAAAAAAAAAAAGCAGGTGTCAAATTTAAATCTTAAACTGTTATCACAAAGTTCATATTTGTAAATGAAAAAGTGCATGCGTTAGAACATTTACTGGTTGCTATTGCTAAGGGAAAGCAACAATTCCAAAAGATGAGTTCATATTAGGAAAATAAAACACCCCAGGGCTTTTATTTGAACAAGCTTGGTAGACACCCATTAGTAGATGTTTCATGCTAAATATCTAACTTCTAGCTCTTTGGTGTTCAACCCATTTACAGTTGGACACTACGCTTTCCTCTTTTGATTACATCTGACGGGCCAAGTGGGAGACTATATGATGGACAGTTCTTAAAGCCCTTTGGGACTGAATTGCCTTAATGTTTGTCTTCTGTCTTGCTTCGTCGGGCCCTTGTAGGTGATTTTCTTGTTGCTCTGTCTTCCTTTAGGACATCGAGTACTTTTGTTATGGTCATTGGGTTTACTTTTATATGTTTCTACATGATCATTTTGGTGTTTTACTTATTTAACCTTTTGTAACCATAACAACTGTGAGAATTTCACTTGGCGGGGATTCATTTTATTTACACTGTCTCGTTTAAAGGAACATGGTGGGGCTAAGAGCGAGGTTTGGTGCACCATTAACCGGTTTAAACTCCCCAGTAGTCATCATTATTATGCTGCTGACCGTTCCAAGGCGGCGCCCCTCTGTGTTCCTCAGATGTATGTCTATGTTGTTTTATACTGTTTTGGTGACACTTTTGCTCGTGTCTCTTGTTGTTTCTCGTCTACGGTAAGTATCTTCCCTTTGTCCCTAGTTTTTATTTATTTTATTCCCCCCCCTTCCCCGTGTCTCATGTCCCCTTCCCCCGTGCCTTTTGACATTATGAGCCTTATATTAAATCATTTATTTGTTTTGTTTTAGTTCCTTATAAGTTACTAATTATGTATTCTGATGTAGTGGTTTGCCTGCCCGTACTCTGCCTTGTGCCCTGTCCTGTTTTTCTTTGGGGTCCTCCTGGGCTCCTTGCCGCTGGCGCTTGTTGCTGGGTCGGGTGGGGGCTGCGTTCATTGAATGCCGCCTTTCCTTGTCGATCTTGTTTATCATATTCTAGCTCTTTGGGTGTTTTTAAAAGAAGATTTTTTTTGGTTTTTACTATATACATATAAGGAAAATCAAAGACCCCCCTAAGACAGGGCCAATTTTGACCCCAGTGCTTTTATTTGTACAAACTTGGTAGACACCTATTAGAAAATGCTTCATGCCAAATATCTAAGTCCTAGCTCATTGTGTTTTTTTAAGTTTTTACTATATACATAATTATAAAGAAAATCAATAACCCCCTTGGGCGGGGCAAAATTGATCCCAGGGTTTTTATCTAAACATGCTTGGTAGACTCCCATTAGAAAATGTTTCATGCTAAATATCTAACCTTTACGTTATACATATAAGGAAAATCAAAGATCCCCTAGGGCTGGGCCAATTTGGACTTCAGGGCTTTTATTTGAACATGCTTGGTAGACACCTATTTGAAGATGTTTTCATGCTAAATATCTAACCTCTACAAAAAATGTACCTCTTTGGGTTTTTAAAAAGGAGAATTTTTGTAAGTTTTTACTATTTACATATAAAAAAGACCCCCAGGACTCTCCGTACATTTAATCAATGATGTTATATTTTCGATCCTTGAAGATTGTTCAGCACGACATTATTGTTGTGCTTGTGGTATTTTTAGTTTTAACTTTTCGGCATTTTCTAGTTGGGTGGTTCCAATATTCCTACTTGAATAATGTTGAATCACTCTTAGGATATGTTGCCTGCCTTTTAAAATTGTCTTTTGACGTCTTATCTGTGATACGCAGGCTTCATAACCTCTGATCCCCTTTCAAAATTCCATTTTATTTAGTTCCGCCCATTGTTTTCTCGTTAAGGGCACACGCTTTTTATTACTTTGGGACCATACGCCGCTTTTCATGGAATGGCACGACTGTGTCACATTGAAGGTTCCATGATAACCGCCGTATGAATACATCTGCGGATGTTTCTAAATTCCAAATTTTACTATTTCACGTTTAAATGTTGAATTCTGCTTAAGCCGGTGCTAGGGGGCGTGAACGGTAACTTGCACTTTCCAGTACCGTCCATGAACAGGCTCAATCAAACCGAGCCTGCAACATTTTCAATTTTGCCGTGTTGGGCTTTCTTTAGGGATTCTGTATTTATCAATTTTATGATCACATCCGTGTTATTTGTGCCGTGTGGCGGCTGTAAAAAGTCTCCCCGTACATTTAATCAATGATGTTATATTTTCGATCCTTGAAGATTGTTCAGCACGACATTATTGTTGTGCTTGTGGTATTTTTAGTTTTAACTTTTCGGCATTTTCTAGTTGGGTGGTTCCAATATTCCTACTTGAATAATGTTGAATCACTCTTAGGATATGTTGCCTGCCTTTTAAAATTGTCTTTTGACGTCTTATCTGTGATACGCAGGCTTCATAACCTCTGATCCCCTTTCAAAATTCCATTTTATTTAGTTCCGCCCATTGTTTTCTCGTTTAGGGCACACGCTTTATATTACTTGGGGACCATACGCCGCTATTCATGGAATGGCAAGACTGTGTCACATTGAAGGTTCCATGATAACCGCCGTTGAATACATCTGCGGATGTTTTTAAATTCCAAATTTTACTATTTCACGTTTAAATGTTGAATTCTGCTTAAGCCGGTGCTAGGGGGCGTGAATGGTATCTTGCACTTTCCAGTACCGTCCATGAACAGGCTCAATCAAACCGAGCCTGCAACATTTTCAATTTTGCCGTGTTGGGCTTTCTTTAGGGATTCTGTATTTATCTATTTTAAAAGAGAATTTTTAAAGTTTTTTCTTTCCGTTGCCATGGCAACCACAGTTCTGCATTGAACAATTTTCAGAGGTGACCATCAAAGGAACATTTCTGTGAAGTTTGAATGAAATTGGCTCTGTGGTTTATGAGCAGATGTTGTTTACAGTAGAGGTTAACGGATGGCGGACAGACAGCACATGAATAGCAATCACAAAAGCTCACCTTGTCACTTTGTGTAAGGTGAGCAAATAAAAAAAACAATTTATTTAAGTTAGATATTTGTCAACATCAATTCAATGTAAGCAAGTTATTCCTTAATCATTCATCAATTAAGACATGTACATTAATATATACATATTTAATAATGCTGAATTGCAACAAAGTTTTAAGATATATTTTGCTAGGACATTTAATAGTAGTGAGTCACAATGTTCTTTAGTATGTGAGTCACATTGTTCTTTTGAGTAATTTCAACTTGAATATATTATTACAGTCTTTAATTCCATTTTATTTAGTTCCGCCCATTGTTTTCTCGTTTAGGGCACACGCTTTTTATTAATTGGGGACCATACGCCGCTTTTCATGGAATGGCACGGAAGTGTCACATTGAAGATTCCATGATAACCGCCGTATGAACACATCTGCGGATGTTTCTAAATTCAAAATTTTACTATTTCACGTTTAAATGTTGAATTCTGCTTAAGCCGGTGCTAGGGGGCGTGGACGGTAACTTGCACTTTCCAGTACCGTCCATGAACAGGCTCAATCAAACCGAGCCTGCAACATTTTCAATTTTGCCGTGTTGGGCTTTCTTTAGGGACTCTGTATTTATCTATTTGTTGAGTCCCAGCCAGATGTTGCAGAGAAATAGCACAGAAATGAAATTCGGATGGACAGATAGACAGATGGTTGGATGAACAGACTGATAACGCCCAAACAATATCCCCCTTTTGATTCCATCAGCAGGGGATAATAAACTTACATCTGGATAATTAGCAGAATAACCATGCTCGTCATCTGAAAAGAATTACAACAGTAATAATTAATAAATCAAAAAGGACAATATATATATAGACTTATATATAGACTACGCTTTCCTCTTTTGATTGCATCTGACGGACCAAGTGGGAGACTCTATGATGGATAGTTCGTAAAGCCCTTTGGGACTGAATTGTCTTAATGTTCGTCTTCTGCCTTGCTTTCGTCGGGCCCTTGTAGGTGATTTTCTTGTTGCTCTGTCTTCCTTTAGGACATTGAGTACTTTTGTTATGGTCATTGGGTTTACTTTTATATGTTTCTACATGATCATTTTAGTGTTTTACTTATTTAACCTTTTGTAACCATGACAACTGTTAGAATTTCACTTGGCGGGGATTCATTTTATTTACACTGTCTCGTTATAGGAACATGGTGGGGCTAAGAGCGAGTTTTGGTGCACCATTAACCGGTTTAAAACTCCCCAGCAGTCATTATTATGCTGCTGACCGTTCCAAGGCGGCGCCCCACTGTGTTCCTCAGATGTATGTCTATGTTGTTTCATACTGTTTTGGTGACACTTTTGCTTGCGTCCCTTGTTGTTTTCTCGTCTACGGTAAGTATCTTCCCCATTGCCTCTAGTTTTTATTTCTTTGATTAAACCCCCCCCCCCCTTCCCCCGGTCTCCTGTCCCCTTCCCCTTTGTGGGCCTATTATTATTTTCTTTGAATTCCTAATCAGTTACAAATTATTTATCATTTAATGATTAACGTGTCTTTGCCCTGTCCTTTTTATGTTTGGGGTCCGCCTGGACTCCTTGCCATTGGGTTCTTGTTGCTTGGTCATATGGGGGTTGCGTTCATTGAACGCCGCCTTTCCTTGTTGATCTTGTTTATCATATTTTTTTTACTCTGGAATAAAGAGAGTTTCATGCAAAATATTTTAACTCTATCCTTTATAAATTAGAGAAGATGATTATATTTTCTGGTCCTTCGGGATCATTGATACCAACACTATAAAGTGTTGAGAATTGAGTACCGCTCAAGCCGGTGCTAGGGGGCGTGAGGGATGTTGCACTTATTCATTATCCCTCATGTACAGACTCAATCAAACGAGTCTGCAATTCTTATGTTATTTTGTTTGTGATTAATGCTTCCGAGGGATCACTTTGTTTCCAGAATTTTATACTTCACAACAGCAGGTGTCAAGTGCGTGTGGCAGCTGTAAAAAGTTTTGCCCCGTACTTCACTTCAGTGTTGTTATATTTTCTGGTCCTTCGGGATCATTGATGCCAGCACTATTAAGTGTTGAGAATTGAGTACCGCTCAAGCCGGTGCTAGGGGCGTGAGGGATGTTGCACTTGTTCATTATCCCTCATGTACAGACTCAATCAAACCGAGTCTGCAGTTTTCATGTGGTTTTGTTGCTTCCGCGGGACACTTTGTTTCCAGATTTTTATTACTTCACAACAGCAGGTGTCAAGTGCCGTGTGGCAGCTGTAAAAAGTTGCCCCGTACTTCACTTCAGTGTTGTTATATTTTCTGGTCCTTCGGGATCATTGATCCAGCACTATTAAGTGTTGAGAATTGAGTACCGCTCAAGCCGGTGCTAGGGGGCGTGAGGGATGTTGCACTTGTTCATTATCCCTCATGTACAGACTCAATCAAACCGAGTCTGCAATTCTTATGTAATTTTGTTGTGATTAATGCTTCCGAGGGATCAACTTTGTTTCCAGAATTTTTATACATATAAGATAAACCTATGGCTCCCAGAGGCGGGGCTAATTTTGACACAAGAGACAAAATTTTAACAAATTTGGTAGAGTACTTAAGATGATATTATTTAACAAACATTAAGCTCTAAAACATGATTAACAAGATCGACAAGGAAAGGCGGCATTCAATGAACGCAGCCCCCACCGACCCGCAACAAGTGCCAGCAGCAAGGAGCCCGGAGGACCCCAAAGAAAAACAGGACAGGGCACAAGGCAGAGTACGGGCAGGCAAACCACTACATCAGAATACACAATTAGTAACTAATAAGGAACTAAAACAAAAACAAATAAATGATTTAATATAAGACCCATAATGTCAAAGGCACAGGGGAAGGGGACATGAGACACGGGGAAGGGGGGGGGGGGGAATAAAATAAATAAAAAGTAGGGACAAGGGAAGATACTTACCGTAGACGAGAAACAACAAGAGACACGAGCAAAAGTGTCACCAAAAACAGTATAAAACAACATAGACATACATCTGAGGAACACAGAGGGGGCGCCTTGGAACGGTCAGCAGCATAATAATGACTACTGGGGAGTTTAAACCGGTAAATGGTGCACCAAACCTCGCTCTTAGGGTTTATGGTTTGACTTGAATTTTTTCAGAGTCTGAGAGTGTGAAAATTTCTGATGGAGTTGGCAAAGGGCAAAGGGCTTTGGCTTGCCCAGCTTTAGACAACACATGTATATTTAAAAGAAAATGAAATAAAAAAAACAATTAAAATTTTTTTATATAGAATGCGATACAATAATGAAATTTTCAGTATCAGTTTAGTTGACCGCCGCCATTTACTATGAAACTCAATGATAATATTATTAATAGGCGGGGTATTCCAATAACATAACAAATCTCAACTTTTCGGGTTGAAAACGGAAACATTGCATAAAATGACAAATGACACCTTTAGAACGGATAAATGAAAGAAACTTTTTTAACGACTTCCCCGTTCATAGGCTTTGCCTAATTTCATATTACAGAGATCTTGGCCTTTAATCAGGATATGGCATTGTCTCTTTTTTCAGCTCCAATTTTTCGGGGAAGAGGCTCGCATATATAAGACTAGTTCAATAAATTTAGAATCAAACCTACTCCGGTGCATATTTCCAAAACATAATACAAACAAATAGGGAGAAGTGAAAGAGGGTGATATGGTCATACATTAAACTAACTCAAATCAAATCAAAATTTATTTATTGTCTGTATAAATATATAACATTTTACAAAACATAATCTATGTTTAGGCACAGGAACTTGAAATTCTATCAATATTAATGATAATATCCAAAATATACCCCCTATACAGTATAAATAAACTGTAAATGGTGTTTATTTTGGATACTATCATTAATATTGATAGAATTTCAAGTTCCTGTGGTAAAACTTTTGACAGACTCACCTCACGTTGTACATAAAGATAAGACCATGACCTTTATGATGAGTTTACCATAGTTCTGGCTTTCATAACTTTATATGTCGCTTTTATTTTGACGTTGTAAGACAGTAAACAGGTCTAGCAGTACTATAAACCTGTTCGGTGAAGTCTCTTTAGCTAAGTTTATTCCCTGCGATCTAGAGACCGTATTGGTACGCGTTTTACTTTTGAGGCATGGAGGAGCACGTGACCTGTTTTCGGTACATGGAGGAGCATGTGATCTGTAAACCGTACATGATTGGTTAATTGACCTCTCCGAAAAAACCTAGCTAAATACCGTTTGCCGTTAGGATTTACCGAATTACCTAATTCAGAACAAAAAACTATTACGAGGTATTTCCAATTTTCTATAATTATTTTACCGTTTAAGGTGGAAAAACTTGAATGATGTGTTTGAAAAATATCAATGTTTCTTAAATATCTATCTAAAATTGTATAAACAATAAATTGTTTATACTGAAAATCTACAAAATTAAAATCCATGTATTCGTAGTGGCATCTGCCATAATAAATAGAGATATTTTCTGCGTAAACTTGTGTGTTTGTTTTATGTTCGACCTTCTCCGGTCTTCAACTGTCACCGGTTTCCAAAGACCTTCCCCCTCCTATATTGATCGTTTATTCAATTGTCAACTATATTCCTGATACAAACGTTTTTTTATCTCCCTCCCCCAAAAAAGTGTTAAAAATAGTTAAATTAAATATCTTTACATCATTAAAATGTTCACCGCAGGAAACCATTTTACTTGTCAGTGTTTAGTATATGTTAAGTACCGTCAACTAAACTGCTAAAGAGCAGCACAACAGAGTACATTACATAAATATCTAATTGACGCACGAAAACTCACTCACAATATGCACATTTAGAACGTTTTCTTGCAGATAAATTAAAATGTAGTTCTCCTTCAGATCTAAAAGTTTTTCTGAATGGGGTAAGTGCCTGTTTTTTTTGGTCTTTTCACCGTTTCTCCCCAATACATCGTCCTCCATTTTGACATAAATCGGAACCACGCGAACCTGAAGTAGAAATTTGAATTACCCGGTAGGAAATGACGAAACAGAAGACCATGGTCTCATCTCTATTTTTCGATAGTGTAAATATACCTCCGACAATGTAATATATTTTTACAAATGAATGATATTAAGTCTTGTTATTGTTATATAAAAACATGTTATGAATTTGACGAAATAAATGTGATATTATATGTCAGTAAGCACAATAGTTTTTTTCCTTAAAAAAAAACTGTTTTAACTAGTACTACTTTTTTAGCGCATGAGGGTCAGAAACGTTTAACAACTTCGACCCATTTCTCCTTATATAGAAAAAGGAACAGCAATTTATTTTTCTTCGTTTATCAGGGCGCTTTTTCTGGTCATGTCATAAATAGAATCTTAATTTTCGTGTTTTATGTTTGTATTAAATTTATTAAACGAGTCATCTGAAAACGATAAAAACTCGGCAGACCTGTATATATCAATGTAGTTTTTCCACATATGTTTCCAAAGGGGCAGAGGGTAACGAACATTGCCAGCAGCAAAAAATGAAAATTAAAAATATATATAAATACTTGTAAATAAATATAAACAAAGATAAAAAATGAAATGAAATTAAATTAGCTCACGACATCTTAAGCTGGTATTGGTTCATTTTATCTTGGGATTTCCATTCAAACAAAAGTGAAAGGGCACAATAGAAAGAAGTGCACGAAGTTTTTTATTTACTGAATTCTGTTACAACAATTGTTTAAGAAGTTGAGATAAAACAGTTATCATAATATGAAACTCGTTAGTTACAGGGGCGAAATCTTGGGGTGTTTCTGAAGAAAAAAACCCCCCAAAAACCGCCACGCCATATTTTTAACAGAAACAACAGAAGTCACTCCAGCCATTTTATAACTCGTATCATATAGTTATCACTATGACTTAACAATTAAAGTGTGCCGTTAAACTCAAACAAAGAAAATTTATCACAAGTTATTAACATATGACACGTATTGTCCTTCTGTTATGTTTAAGAATTTGTATAACAAGTTTTTGGCGACTTTAAGTTAAACAAATTTGAAAGCTTTAGTCTAAACATAATGTAACCAAAATCATAATAATTAGGACTTAAAGGCTAATCTTACACAGGATGGTTTGATTCTGTGGTTACTTAACCCTATACTGTCTCCAATATTATTACGGTAAATTGAACATCTTTTACAGACAGTTCACCCTACAAATTACCTTTTAACAAAGCCAGTTTGTCGCGGAGTTATTATTAAGAGTGACTGCCTTAAGTAACTTGTTTAAATGTTGATATGGGGTGATCAATCGCGGCCATGGAAATTTTATTGCTGAGACAGAATGAAATCCATGAGGAAATGGTATAAGTCCATGTCCTCCGTACAAGCATTAAATCCGAAAACATCAGGTGACTTTAACAGGTCTAAAACAATGCAAGAGTATGACCATTCATACCTTCAAACTATCCTGTCTTTGAAGTCCGTTGTTGCGAGAAATAAATATGTGAAAAGGAAATGCTATATGCAACAGAACGTGAACTGTAGTTGGACATAAATATATTGGTTTGCATACAATATATAAGATAAATGATTTAAAATCATAACTCATTGAAATGGTTCTATCTCGATGCATTTTTATGTATATATTTTTCGATTTCGTTTACTTTTGTATCTGAAAAGATGACACAATGAAAAAAATTCTCACCTTGCTCCCACACTTCATTTGTTTGTTTATTAAACATATAGGGCAATCGTGTATGATAACTTGAAAAATATGCACTGGGTAAAGAAAAAGGATGTTTACATGCCATATGATGTCAAACCAAATGCCGTCATGAACAAAAAATCTCTTCTTTTTACCATATTGACCAGTTATGTATATTTTTCTTGCATTGTCAAACAATAATGAAACGTTATAGTTCAAGTAATTGTATTTAATCCTAAAATGATACCGGTTAGCTATTCTAAATACCGTATGACTAGCTTTTAACGACACTTGATTATAATGATATTCGCAGTATACCGACATATCTGTTCGGTAACGATTTTGATGTTTATTTAATTTATATAGAATTAACCTGCTTGGGACGACACCTATGATACCGGATGAACAACCTTACTTCTCAGTCCCAATACGTATGAATATTCTTATTGACCCTTTTATATGCCGTCGCTAATAACATGTTTTCGTTCACTTTATTTGTTTTCATTAAACATGTATTAAGTAAAGATATTTATTTTCTAGCCTTTTTGTCACAATAAGTACATATTCAATTTAGTATTAAAAACAAAAACAACAATTAATAAACAAACAACAGGATTACGGACCCTAATGGGCACTTTCAAGAATAACAAAGAAACATTTCTTTTTCAAATATATAATATTTAAGCATGTTATTGCAGGATTTTTAACATCTTTTACCATCTACAACTCTAGATATTTGTGTTTCAATATGGTCACCCTCAATTTCGGAAAATGGAGAAAATAAAGTGAAGACCTAAGTAACATAACAAGGTCTAATTTTCAAAAGTATAATTTTAGACTATCTAAATATGTGTTTTATAGTGTACTTCCATCAATTCTATGAAAATAATAATACAAAAACTAAAATATTTTCATATTTTTTATTTTTCAGTATCAAAAATGTTTCAAAACGGTGCTCGGACAATGCATTTTTGTTTAAAAATTTAATCCAAATACCAATTTTAACATTTTTTTAAAAAAAAATTATTTATATTCAATAAAAATAGAATAGATAATAATTATCTACATCATTTTAGGAAACAAATCACCAATTTTTAAGAGATTTTACCATGGCTATTTCATTTTATAGCTTATTGAACAAAACATGTGTCAATTTTCAAATAGTCCGAAATTGGTCGAAAATATTCATAATCTAACAAAAAATGTACATTTATAATATCAAACTTTCTTTTGAAGTAAGAACTACATAGCAAGTTACCTGATAGTTGTCAGAAACTTATCAGTTAAATTAAAAACACCTTAGAATAGATTTTAATATGTGTTATTCATATTTATAAAAGGTATTCTCAACCTCAGAAAAGGGAAAAATAAAGATAAGACCTAAGCCACAAAAAGAGGTCTTCTAATTCTCACTATTTTCACTCAAGACAATCAAAATATGAGTTTTCTTGTGTTTTATGGAGTGATACCATTAACAATATGAATACAATAATGTTAAAACTAAAATGTGTTCATATTTACTACTTCTCAGTATCATGCACACTTCGATCAGTGCACGGACAATGCATTTTCCATAAAAATTGAAACCATTTTGTAATTTTTTTCCATTCTTAAAAAATCGGTTAAAAGTTCAAATCTCACTAGAAAAAACATTGATCATCTTTACCATTTGAAGAAATTAATCAATAATTACTAGAGACTTTTTACTATGGCCAATTCATTTAATAGCTTACTCAACAAAATAGATTTAGGTTTTAATTTTTTTTTTTAAATATTCATACCCTGAAAGAATTCTGTATCATAGATTTTGAACTACTTTTGCAGGAAAGAAATTTAGCAAGTTCTGTTAGAGTTTTCCTGTACTATAATGAACATGTAAAAAACAATGACACCGCCTTAATCAGGAAATATATAAAAAAAATGAATTTGGTTACCATTTTCCATAATGCAAAAAAAACCCAACAAATTATCATTTGTTATCATTTATGACCAAAATGCTAGAAACAAAATGAAAGTTACAATTATCACTGAAATAAAATGTTACATAGAAAAATAGAATACAGTACCATAAAAATTACTATTTTATGATATATGACTGGTTATATGACCCTTAAATTGTTGGTACATAAATATAACCAAAGCTGCTTCAAGTTATTATAGCAACCTTTCAAAAGTTTCTACAACAAATTGATAATAATGAAGGAATATTGTTTTTATGTTCAAAAAATTATATTCATTACAATCTTTTGATAAATGATTTTACAAACAACAGTACAATAATTAACAAAATACTGTAATTACATTATCACCTCATTATTTCTTAAAATGTTCAACAAGTTTTGGTATAACACTTTCTATAACTCTTTTAGTGTTAGTTACACGTGGCTGGCTTCAGAGTTCTTACATGTAAATGTATTATGCAATCCCTGTCTAAGATATATTTTCTTCAGACTATTCAAATTTAGACCTGAACTGGCAATATTTTCAGCTGTGGCCAATTTACAAATGCCACAAGCAACAATACCTTGTAATGTACACAGATTTTTTGCCTTTTCTTTGCTGGATAAAAAGTTAAAGTAAACAGCCTTGGAGAAAAAGTAAATTTCATCAGGTCTTGTACAGATATCAATGAGCAGCTGTGAGAAAGTATTTTACACAAAGCTGTAACATCATCTTCGGCATTATGTGCATTATATGTTTATTGTAATAGTCACGAGCAAGGTCTTCCTGCTTATATGAAGGTCTTCCCGGGAAGGTTTTTCTAAATAACATTAAAGTGTCCATTAATCCTTGTGCACATTTAAAAAACCTATCTATTTTGTTAGTGTTGCATAAGGCTGAAATAAGCACAGGGAAGTCAAACCTTCTACCATTGTGGGCAGTTACAATAACATTACTGTATTTATCAAGCCACTGTAAAAGACAGTCCAAAGCACAATTGATGTCAACTGTATCAACAACAGTCCCGTTTACTGTCATAATGTCACCATTGACTGTTATTCCTGTAGCTTGCTGGGCACTGTGTTGAAATTGGCATCTTGGGCTTGTACATATACACAGAATGTTTGTCCTATGCCACTGTTGACAACCTTGGCAGCAATCTGCGTTATGTGGGGCATTTGTCCAGCACAAACTGAAAATTTAATTACTTCATATTTAAACTGAACAGGACTATTCTATTTACACATCTAATTCCTTTTTTCTTTCAATATACAATTCGCTCATACTTTGAAATCAAAATGAAAATAAGAGACAACAAGGAACATCGCAATGCGATGCAACCAGGTTTTCAGCAAAATATTTCACAGAAGCTTTGTCATGAAGGGGCATTTGTTTTTAATTGAACTTTTAGGAGGAATTATGGCTTTTTTAATATTCCTCAAACAAAAATGATTGAGAAATTTTATGTTGTCTATTCGCCTTTTTTTCCCAAATGTTTTAGAAAGGTAAACAGTACTTTATTTTTGCTTAATTTTTGCATTTTTGCCTCTCTTGTCATTTTCTTTTGTCAACAATATTGGCGTGTGGTGTTTTGTGCGATATCAAGAAAAGTATGTTCACAATTTTAAAAAAATACTTGAATGATGTCTTGGAAGAAACATGGGAATTTAGTGAGCGCCAGGGCACTTTATGATATAGCTTCTGTGAAAGTTTGGTCAAAAATCCATTGAGAAATGTAGGAGAAGTTGCGCACTGTAGAAATTGTTCACTATATATCTGTATAAGGAAAAAATATACAAAGGGCCATAATTCGGTCAAATATTATCCAATCACAAAACCCCAACAATATGTGCCAGGCACTTGAAAACAAAGCTTCTAAGAAAGTTTGGTCAAAATCCGTTGAGAAATGTAGGAGAAGTTGAGCACAGAAGAAATTGTTCTCTATATATTCTGTATAAGGAAAAAATATACAAAGGGCCTTAATTCGGTCAAATATTATCCAATCACAAAACCCGACAATATGTGCCAGGCACTTGATAACAAAGCTTCTAAGAAAGTTTTGGTCAAAATCCGTTGAGAAATGTAGGAGGAGTTGCGCACAGAAGAAATTGTTCACTATATATTCTATATAAGGAAAAAAAACAAAGGGCCATAATTAGGTCAAATATATACCAATTGCAAAACCCTGGCAATATGTGTCAGGGCACTTGATGACAAAGCTTCTGAGAAAGTTTGGTCAAAATCCGTTGAGAAATGTAGGAGGAGTTGCGCACAGAAGAAATTGTTCACTATATATTTCATATAAGGAAAAAAAACAAAGGGCCATAATTAGGTCAAATATTATCTAATCGCAAAACCCCGACAATATGCGCCAGGGCACTTGATGACAAAGCTTCTGTGAAAGTTTGGTCAAAATCCATTGAGAAATGTAGGAGGAGTTGCGCACAGAAGAAATTGTTTACGCCCGCCCGCCCGCCCGTCCGCCGCCCGCCCGCCGACATACCTCAATCTAATAACCAGTTTTTTCCTTCGGAAAACCTGGTTAAAAATTATTTTAACACTTATATATATACATGTGCTAAAGAATTCTACTCACTAACGTCTGTAGTCTCTAAATCAAGTGCAATCATTGTTATTGGGTCTGATAGAGGTGGTATGGGTTTAAAGTCACCACGTGGAACAGCATCAGGTATCCTCTCTACATCAATATCTTCCTGCCTTTCTTCAATACCTGAAATCAATATATATAATTTTTACAATTTATGATTTATAATTACATACTCAATTAACATCATGTCTATTTTTTTTTATATTTTAATAGTCTAATCTGCATATGTATGTCATGAACTAAAAGTCTTTTAGTACCTGACTGATAAGATGCGCCCTCTAGTGCTTCATTAGCACTTTCAATCCGGGGTTTTGACTCTTAAAAATTAAGAAACGCACACATTTTACTGATTGTGATAAAATCTCCACAAGAGTCAATTTGTCACATGGGAATTTTCAGCTATGCATAAATTATTACCTTGAATCCACTCCTAGCTACCTATCAAATCCTAGATATATCAAACTCCATTAAAATGTCATTAAGCACACATGTTTGAAGTGCTTTACACACATGTTTATAGCCTGTGCACTGGAGCGTGACATAGCAATTGCAAATTGACAGTGCTAAAAATAGCTTTACACAACTGATCAGAATTACAAACTGAGGTGTCAATTATTAATTTTAAGTAGATATGTATGAAGGTTCTAATGTACATCTTTACCTAGAGCACATTATATGTTATTATATAATATGATATGAAATTGAAGATCATTTAATAATAAATATTATTCATTAACAGAATCAACAAACCAGCATTAATGCTTTCCTGGAAATTGGATTCCTCACATTCACTCAGGAGCTTTTACTTTCCCATTCAAACTGAATCTCAAATACATGTATTGAGAAACAGACAGCTCAATTTTATTTGAAAAATTAAATCATTTATATTTTATATCAATATTACATTATGTACATTCAGGCCTCGACATTAGCGGTGGTCCGTTGGTCCGAGACCACCTAAATTTTGCAAGGACCACCTAATTTTAAAATGCACTGGTCCATCGGACCACTTGAATTTTCTGGTTTGTTCAAGGCTCATTTGGGAGAATGGCGATTTGGTCAAAAACATGTTATATACATTTTGTTTAAAACCATTTGTCCTATGAACATGTATATGGTTCATTAATAGATTAGTCTGATTAGTTAAAGAAGGCCTTAAATCATTAATAACTTTCATTTTAAGTCGCTAAAATGTTGTCTATGCAAGTTAAAACAGTTAAGAATTTGTGATACTGGAAAAAATACATCTAGTAATTCTTTGCTAGTTATCTTTATTTTTACTGTTTAACGATAAGAGATCCATTTCTTCCAGAGTTAAAATTACTTTTTTTTAAATAAAAGGTTAAAAATACTCAATGTAAAAAATAAATATCAACCAACAAGCAACAGGGCGGTAAAAATTCTATATTCATAATAAATCTGTGAGAAAAATAAGCTAAACTATAGTTAAATATAAAGTTGTTTTTATTTTTTATCCTTTAGATATTTCCTTGTTTTAAGAGTTTTATTATTTTCTATTTAAAATGTTAATCTATAAAAGATACATGTAATTATCATGATTATAAGACGTACCACGTATCAGCAATGAATATTTGAATAACAGTAAGAAAAAAACCCAGACATAATTGGTTTCACTATTCCCTAACTTGAGTTGAGGGTGAAATCACTTCAATATAAAAGTTAACATAAATAAGAGCCCTGTTGTGTATTTTTTAATGAGCTATGAAAAAAAAAACAAATAACTTCACGACAGAATACCTACTAACTTGCTCTCCTTAATTTATGATAAGATAAAAATATATATCTAAAATGTCTGTTTTCTTTAAAGATTAATAATACATCTTTGACAAGTTTGTCATCAATTTTAAGCATACTTTTTTTCTAAACTTGCCGTAAAATGATATTATAATAATAATTGACCACTTGGTTTCTGAAAGGACCACCTTAATTTCAAATCTAGTGGTCCGGCTTACCACCTGATAAAAAAGTTAGTGTCGAGGCCTGACATTGTAATCTAAATCCAAGTTACATTTTATTATTAGTTTTACATTACCAGTAAACATATTAACAAACCCTTACATCCATAAATTATTTTTTAGCAAGTTGTATTAACTATGGGTCATTAGATTTAAATTTTGTACTTTTGTTTATCATTTCAGTGATTTTATTGTGCTTTAGACTGTCCTTTATTTATGTAGCTGACTATTGACTGAAAGCAGAGTTATTTTTCCAGCATTTTTGGAAACATGAACCATATCCAGGAATTTATTGATTAAATGAATACAAAGAATCACTGTCTGGGATGGCATCAAACATTTAAGCACCATAACAGTGAAGAAAGCCCTTGATTTCAAAGAATATCTACAGCTTATGCAGTCTAAATAGACATGTTCAACTTGATGTTGTACAAAAACATACAGATTGGTAACAAATGTTGTGAAATTACAACTGATATAATTTATTAATACACTTCAAACTCACTGTATTTCCATACTGAAAGCATTATGAGCAGCTGTTGAAGTTGATTTAGATGCCACACACTCGATAGCTTCTCCTGCCCTGCGTTCCATTTTTTTCAGCTTGTTAGTGGACAATGTTGGTAAGCTGAGGGTGGACAGCATATTGTTAACCTTTGTTGGACCTCCAATACTGTCTATCATAGCTGAAAATGAGTGAAACTTATCATTTTTTCTATAATACATATTAACATTTCTCAAGACGTGACCCAAAACAACTAAATTCAACATAGAAAAGCTATTTGATAGGGGTCACATATTTTACAATGTACATGTAAGAATAATGTAAGCTCCTGGATTCAACTGTACGCATTGGTCAACATGGCAAAAATTTGTGGTTTACTAAAAATAAAATGAATATGATAATAGTCAAACTTTCATCATTTAAACTTATAATTATCCACACAAGTCAGACTCATATAACATGGAACAGATATGTGGAATAGATAATTATTATAAATATAGATCTACATGTATATAATATATATTCCAAATATTAACACAAATAAAAAAGGTAAAGAGGGCCTAGTTGACCAAAGCAGAGTTTATACAAGGCTGATATGATTTGAGGACCTAGTTAATTTTAGGTCCAAGCTGACCTGATTGAGCACTTTACAATACACCCCGACACAGTTTCTGCCTGCAAAAGATGCAAGCTATCTAGGTTAATACATTTTCTCCTTTATATAATAATAAAATAAACATTGAACATTTGATAAAATTGACTTTAAATGCATAAAATGTTCTTATAAGACAACTATGTTTATGATCACATGAAACAAAATATGTGTAAGCTTTATACCTGTACCAAGCTTGGTATTTACTGCAAAACAAGGCATGCCTGATTTTCCCCTGTGCCTGTGGGTTTTCCCATACGGAACAAAGTTAATAAAACCGCAATTTAAATTTTCGCACTGCACATACAGATATCCACCAAGTCCCTTCTTAATTACCTTTTGTACACTGTATAACGTCAGTGGAACCGGTCCTAACCTGCACGATTTGCAAAACTTCAAATATTTTTTCAACAAGAAGTTGAGAACACCTAGTTCAATGATTCGCCGCCCGATTTTCCACTGTTGCGTAAGATTCTGGTCACTAAACACTTCAGCAGAATTACCACTTTGCACAGAATTGTCCGTTACATAATTATGTTTAATTAAAATCCTTTCAAACTTCTTAATTTTAACGTTATTTGTTTTTTGACGTACCGGCCACGATAGTTTCGCAAGGGAGCGGCCATATTGCTTCCTGTGAAAACTGACGTCACAGTCGCTAAAAATAGGTTATACGATAAGTGGCGACAAAAGGCGAGGGTAGCTTCGGGCCTTCTACGACGTTTCACGATTTTACCCGATATTTACCGATTTATTAGGGTCCGTAATCCTTAATATATACATATTTAATAATGCTGAATTGCAACAAAGTTTTAAGATATATTTTGCTAGGACATTTAATAGTAGTGAGTCACAATGTTCTTTAGTATGTGAGTCACATTGTTCTTTTGAGTAATTTCAACTTGAATATATTATTACAGTCTTTAATTCCATTTTATTTAGTTCCGCCCATTGTTTTCTCGTTTAGGGCACACGCTTTTTATTAATTGGGGACCATACGCCGCTTTTCATGGAATGGCACGGAAGTGTCACATTGAAGATTCCATGATAACCGCCGTATGAACACATCTGCGGATGTTTCTAAATTCAAAATTTTACTATTTCACGTTTAAATGTTGAATTCTGCTTAAGCCGGTGCTAGGGGGCGTGGACGGTAACTTGCACTTTCCAGTACCGTCCATGAACAGGCTCAATCAAACCGAGCCTGCAACATTTTCAATTTTGCCGTGTTGGGCTTTCTTTAGGGACTCTGTATTTATCTATTTGTTGAGTCCCAGCCAGATGTTGCAGAGAAATAGCACAGAAATGAAATTCGGATGGACAGATAGACAGATGGTTGGATGAACGGACTGATAACGCCCAAACAATATCCCCCTTTTGATTCCATCAGCAGGGGATAATAAACTTACATCTGGATAATCAGCAGAATAACCATGCTCGTCATCTGAAAAGAATTACAACAGTAATAATTAATAAATCAAAAAGGACAATATATATAGACTTATATATAGACTACGCTTTCCTCTTTTGATTGCATCTGACGGACCAAGTGGGAGACTCTATGATGGATAGTTCGTAAAGCCCTTTGGGACTGAATTGTCTTAATGTTCGTCTTCTGCCTTGCTTCGTCGGGCCCTTGTAGGTGATTTTCTTGTTGCTCTGTCTTCCTTTAGGACATTGAGTACTTTTGTTATGGTCATTGGGTTTACTTTTATATGTTTCTACATGATCATTTTAGTGTTTTACTTATTTAACCTTTTGTAACCATGACAACTGTTAGAATTTCACTTGGCGGGGATTCATTTTATTTACACTGTCTCGTTTATAGGAACATGGTGGGGCTAAGAGCGAGGTTTGGTGCACCATTAACCGGTTTAAACTCCCCAGCAGTCATTATTATGCTGCTGACCGTTCCAAGGCGGCGCCCCACTGTGTTCCTCAGATGTATGTCTATGTTGTTTCATACTGTTTTGGTGACACTTTTGCTTGTGTCCCTTGTTGTTTTCTCGTCTACGGTAAGTATCTTCCCCATTGCCTCTAGTTTTTATTTCTTTGATTAACCCCCCCCCCCCCTTCCCCCGGTCTCCTGTCCCCTTCCCCTTTGTGGGCTTATTATTATTTTCTTTGAATTCCTAATCAGTTACAAATTATTTATCATTTAATGATTAACGTGTCTTTGCCCTGTCCTTTTTATGTTTGGGGTCCGCCTGGGCTCCTTGCCATTGGGTTCTTGTTGCTTGGTCATATGGGGGTTGCGTTCATTGAACGCCGCCTTTCCTTGTTGATCTTGTTTATCATATTTTTTACTCTGGAATAAAGAGAGTTTCATGCAAAATATTTTAACTCTATCCTTTATAAATTTAGAGAAGATGATTATATTTTCTGGTCCTTCGGGATCATTGATACCAACACTATAAAGTGTTGAGAATTGAGTACCGCTCAAGCCGGTGCTAGGGGGCGTGAGGGATGTTGCACTTATTCATTATCCCTCATGTACAGACTCAATCAAACCGAGTCTGCAATTCTTATGTTATTTTGTTGTGATTAATGCTTCCGAGGGATCACTTTGTTTCCAGAATTTTATACTTCACAACAGCAGGTGTCAAGTGCCGTGTGGCAGCTGTAAAAAGTTGCCCCGTACTTCACTTCAGTGTTGTTATATTTTCTGGTCCTTCGGGATCATTGATGCCAGCACTATTAAGTGTTGAGAATTGAGTACCGCTCAAGCCGGTGCTAGGGGGCGTGAGGGATGTTGCACTTGTTCATTATCCCTCATGTACAGACTCAATCAAACCGAGTCTGCAATTCTTATGTAATTTTGTTGTGATTAATGCTTCCGAGGGATCACTTTGTTTCCAGAATTTTATACTTCACAACAGCAGGTGTCAAGTGCCGTGTGGCAGCTGTAAAAAGTTGCCCCGTACTTCACTTCAGTGTTGTTATATTTTCTGGTCCTTCGGGATCATTGATGCCAGCACTATTAAGTGTTGAGAATTGAGTACCGCTCAAGCCGGTGCTAGGGGGCGTGAGGGATGTTGCACTTGTTCATTATCCCTCATGTACAGACTCAATCAAACCGAGTCTGCAATTCTTATGTAATTTTGTTGTGATTAATGCTTCCGAGGGATCACTTTGTTTCCAGAATTTTATACATATAAGATAAACCTATGGCTCCCAGAGGCGGGGCTAATTTTGACACAAGAGACAAAATTTTAACAAATTTGGTAGAGTACCTTAAGATGATATTATTTAACAAACATTAAAGCTCTAAAACATGATTAACAAGATCGACAAGGAAAGGCGGCATTCAATGAACGCAGCCCCCACCCGACCCAGCAACAAGTGCCAGCAGCAAGGAGCCCGGGAGGACCCCAAAGAAAAACAGGACAGGGCACAAGGCAGAGTACGGGCAGGCAAACCACTACATCAGAATACACAATTAGTAACTAATAAGGAACTAAAACAAAACAAATAAATGATTTAATATAAGACCCATAATGTCAAAAGGCACAGGGGAAGGGGACATGAGACACGGGGAAGGGGGGGGGGAATAAAATAAATAAAAAGTAGGGACAAAGGGAAGATACTTACCGTAGACGAGAAACAACAAGAGACACGAGCAAAAGTGTCACCAAAACAGTATAAAACAACATAGACATACATCTGAGGAACACAGAGGGGGCGCCTTGGAACGGTCAGCAGCATAATAATGACTACTGGGGAGTTTAAACCGGTAAATGGTGCACCAAACCTCGCTCTTAGCCCCACCATGTTCCTATAAACGAGACAGTGTAAATAAAATGAATCCCCGCCAAGTGAAATTCTAACAGTTGTTATGGTTACAAAAGGTTAAATAAGTAAAACACCAAAATGATCATGTAGAAACATATAAAAGTAAACCCAATGACCATAACAAAAGTACTCGATGTCTTAAAGGAAGACAGAGCAACAAGAAAAATCACCTACGAAGCAAGACAGAAGACAAACATTAAGGCAATTCAGTCCCAAAGGGCTTTAAGAACTGTCCATCATATAGTCTCCCACTTGGCCCGTCAGATGTAATCAAAAGAGGAAAGCGTAGTGTCCAACTGTAAATGGGTTGAACACTAAGCATGCGGTATGTCTTAAAATAGTAGGGTCATAACCCCTTTTAATAAAACGTTTCATAATTTTAGTAAACACAACAGAAAAATTACAATGACTTAAGATCTTACGAAGTTTGTAAACAACATCACCGTAAAAATCAGGCTGGCTAATCCCTTGTCGCAGAAGTGTTTTTAGATCACTATTGAATTTTGAAATTAAATCAAAGTTACGATTGTAAAATTTTACTAAATTTTACTTATTTTCTCTAAGCCTTGTACCTTTAGACAATAAGATTTTTTTATTTTTTACTATATGTATACAGTCGACTCTCGTTATCTCGAAGTCATCGGGACCGTCCAAAAAATATTGAGATACCGAAATGTCGAGATAAACATATTAGGGTTTGAATAAGGCAGAAATTGATAATGTAACATAACAAATATCAAGGCTCTACCACTTTTGGTTTTTGATAAGAATATTTTGTAAGATTTTGTTAAAAAAAAACTCTCAAAGAACCAGATTTTTTCAAGGAATTTAATTCTTTTAACAACTTTGGTAGAGCTTCATGCAATGGAACAAGCCTGCGAAGTTTCAATAAATTTGGCCAAGCGGTAATGGAGGTGAATTCATTTGAATAAAATATAACGGACGGCCTAACAGACGACAGACAACATGGTGTCAAAAAAGCTCAAATTATCACTTTGTGACAGGTGAGCTAACAAAAAAAATAGAAAAAATGTGGCCAAGCTCAGGAATGCTTCTTCAACTTATAAAGTATGCAGATACAATTTCTTTTCCACATTCCACTTTATATTTCTATCTGTTTTTGTTAAGTTCTTATGAAAAAACATGTCAAATTTATTTATTGAAGGCTTACTAATGTTTTTACATGCCTAAGAATAAAGATATACAAAGATAGATACATGTTCACACAATGACCTTGAAATAATATTTTTCTGCTAACAAGTATGGAGTACCTTTAAAATTGAGGTAATGTTTAGGTTCTATCTGATGCAGATCATCATGCTGGTCAAATATGACTGAGGCAATCCTGCGATGTTCACACTGCTTAAACTGGCGAAGAAATTCTGAAACAAAACAAGAGGGCCATGAGGGCCATCAATTACTCACCTGTCATACTGCAACCTAACTATTTCTACAAAATTCATTGTTAGTTCAAATTTCATTGTTGCAATTTATGGAAGTATGTACATGCAGATTAACAGGGGAACTTAAAATTCAAACTACATGTATAAAATTAGAGATTGCTTTTTAAAACTAGACATGTGTCAATGGGACACAGATGACCTCACACACTCTAGGCCATTATCCCAACTTGACTGAATGCTTTTCAACGTAAAAAACTCAGATGCACAACTACAGTCATGCTGTCCAAAGTCCTGTGAACTTTTGAGATTCTACCTCAAATACTTTTGTAGCTATGCATGACACAATTTCCAAAGAAAGGACTGATAGATGGATAGACAGACAGACAAGAGAAAATCTATATCCACCATCAAATATTTTGAGATATCGGTACGATTCTGTGTAGATTATTAAAAACATACATTTTCTGCTCTGAAATTAATGAAGATAAGGAAAGCACACCTGTAACTGAAGATTCCTGAAGAAAAAGAGCAAGAAGATAACTGAATACAGAAACAACACATTTTATATTTTTCAATTTAAAGTCTATATACCATCATAAGTATGTGAATACTGTCTAAATGAAGATTTTATTTCTCTGCAGAGTACTGGCTGACAGCTGCACATATAAATCCATTTCCCGTTCTCACAATTAAAGGTAACATACTTCCTTTCAAGCAAAATGAGATCTCTCTGCAAAGAAAAAAAAAATGAAAATTGGGTTAACGGTATAAACATTTTAAAAAATCCTTCCATGGTTAAAATTAAGCACATTCAATTTACAATGTCACCAAGTGTGGCACATTATATTGAAACAAGAACTTTTAATTATAAGTCTGTAAGTGCAATAGTATTAAAAATTTAAGACTTCAATAAGACTTTCCAGAAAATCTAAGTTATAAGAGGATAATAATTCAGCCAAAAATTTCAGAACTTTTGGATATGGGTAAGTTGTCACAGCACTTGATTGTGGACAAATTTTTCAAGTTTCAATGCAATAGGTGCTATGGTGTTCAAGATAAACACCAACAGGCATTTAAGAATAAAGTATTTACATGCCCAAGACAAAATGAAGGTTTGCAAAGTTTAATTGTAATTTGCAGTCTGAACAATTTATACTAAAACAGTAGTTCATAATTATATACATCATACCTTCAACTGACACTTTTGGAAGTCCAGTTCTGGTAAAACCATGAAGAGACCAACTCCATCAGAAATTTTCACACTCTCAGACTCTGAAAAATTCAAGTCAAACCATAAACCCTAAGGTCAAAGCAAAAACAATACAAAAAAGGAAGAACAATTTCAGTCTACAAAATCAAAACCTTCAACAAAAATCAAGGGAAATTAATTTTCATTGATGAAACTTTTTGTCATGTATGCATGTACATACATGTAAAATGTTCTTGTTAAAATATTCCAGGTTTGAAAGATTTGGAAATCTGAATTTGCAAAGATGTTCTCAAGAAAATGTAGTATTTAAGATTAAAACATTTAAAGATAAATTTAAAATAGTAAATGAATGGGAAGAGTAACACATTAAGTAATGAAAAGACTTCTTGATTATACATAGTAGTTATAAACTAAGACAAAACATTCTATATGCAAAACATCAAGTGAAAATATTACAATGAACAGCAGCAGAGGACCAAGTTATTCAAAACTTTAAGTAGGAAATTATTACCTGCATACAAAAGGTTCAAATAGAGTTCTTCTATGTCAATTCACCTGAAATACTGACAGGGAAATGCCTCTCAGTCAAAGTATTTACCATTCAAATTTTAATCACACATCACGTTCCTCATAAATTAACTACTATACAGTCATGTTTTGTGTGATTCTTTATAAACATAACTGGAATTATCTATTCAAACCGTAGTTTTTACTTAGTTTGTGTACTGTAAAGCCTATCTATCCCTTTTTTCTGTTAGTTTGGACTAGTTGATTCCATTTTAAAACAGTATTTACATGTATAACCGATACCTACCTGTACTTCTCTGTCTACTGATTGAACCCCGCCAGCAGCATGATCCCCACTAGCATAATTCTCGCCACTACCATAATCCCTGCCAGCATGATCCCCAGTGCCAGAATGACCCTAACCACTAGCATGATCCCCAACCGTATCCTGTAATAGGTTAAAAAGCCAAAAATAAATTATATTACAATAGTGTTATGATTACCCTGGATCAGTAATTTTATCCAAATAATTGGACATAAACAATTGTGCTAACATAATTAAACTATTAGATCGAGTTAATCAAAGATCCTTGAAGATAAAGTTTTAAAGTTTTTAGTTGATTTTGAATAATTTTCCCTAGGAAAGAACTTAAAACAGCAAAAATCTCCAGATTCAAGGGCAGATAACTCAAAGACAACCCAATTGTGTTTTCTCACAAAAAGTGATTATCTATAATCATGCCAAATTCTGAAAAATTCTTTTGGTCAGTTTAAATTTTACTTCTTTGTATTAATGAAAAAAAACAACAAAACTATCACGATCATCTTTAAAGGGTCTTGAATGTGACACATCATCTTGATGTGGTCAACTGTTGTGCCAAGTTATTTTAAAAGCCTTTTATGCATGATAAAGTTCAGTCAGAACACGAATGTTGTGTTAGAGTCATTCTGGGCAATGAAAAACCCTTTGAAGTTTACTATTGACTGCATTTATGATTTTACAGCATTTTATTTGCAATTATAATTCTAAATAAGTTAAGAAGCTAAGCATACAATAAATAATGTTGCAATAATTACATTTGTAGTAGTGCTTAATAGAGCAGTTGACATTGCTGTAATTTCTTCATTGGACACTTGGTTAACAGCATCACTACACAGCGTCGAACGTTCTTCTACAGGATGATTTCCTCTAGCAGAACTGAGTGCTGTATAAATAAGAAATGGTTCAAATATTAAAATTACATGTATTTTCAAACCAAAACATCATCATAAAGTACATATTTCAATAGAATGTTCATGCTTTTATTATTGCTTGAATTATTGAGAATAAGAAAATAAGCCTATTCTTGAATCTATTGGTTAAAATGTTATCTGCTTCATAAAAAGGTTTTAACCCAGATCAATGAGAGGGAACTGATTTGACCATTCTTTAGCCACAGAGGCCCCCTGTTTTCATTTCATATCAAATGCCTTCAAAAATTAAGAACATCAAACACTACAAGAGACTGTTCTTGTGACAAATATATGTCTCCCCTCATGGTTATGATGCAGGAGGAGAAATTAACCTCCAAGTGTGACTTTGGCATTTGGGTAAGCACGTTGATATTACTGTCTATACATTGCCTCATGTTTGTAATGATTTGCACCAAAAGGTTTGGGAATACCTCGATGCATGAAAGACATGACATGATAAATGGAAGGCCTATTTGTAAGGTTTGATGTCTAAGTATGACCTTGACCTTGCTGACAATCATAATGACACATCCTGGATTTGTACGAACGGACAGACGGACGTTCTAACAGGAGAGTAAAAATGTGGCTACTCTATTGTTCTGTCTATTGTTCTTATTACCCACACAAAAGGAAATAGCCACATAAAAGCATTACGGAATGACAAAGAGAAAGAACAGTTACCTCTTGTCCCTCAGCCACATAATTACTGTCCTGTGAGTGCGGATTGACAGATGATGGAAAAGTGATACCTATATGTCGCCACTTCTACGTACAGGTGACACAAACATGGATAGGACATTATTTTAGATAGGTCAGTGTGAGACCATGGCCTTTGATATTTGATACTTTCTTATTTTATATAACATTCATATAAGACCATGACAGTCATCGAATTTAGCACTGGCCTGGTAGCCCATAGCCAGTGAAAATAAGTTCGGGCCGGTGTAAATTTTAAGAAAATTTAGTTAAATAGATGTAGTAGAATAAATTCAAACTGGAATTCGGGCCAATAAATTCAACATCTTAAATTCAATGACTGCATGACATTTATAACAGGATATGGTCTCATTTTAGATAGGTACATGTAAATAAAAGACTGTTCCTTCATAACAGGATATGGTCTTATTTTACATATGTTAATAAGAGACCATGACCTTCATAACAGGATATGGTCTAATGTTTACCATAGGTTAATTAGAACCCATGACCTTCATAACAGGATATGGTCTTGTTTTACATAGGTTAATTTTAGACCATGACCTTTATTACAGGATATGGTCTTATTTTACATAGGTTAATTAGAACCCATGACCTTCATAACAGGATATGGTCTTGTTTTACATAGGTTAATTTTAGACCATGACCTTCATAACAGGATATGGTCTTGTTTTACATAGGTTAATTTTAGACCATGACCTTTATTACAGGATATGGTCTTATTTTACATAGGTTAATTAGAACCCATGACCTTCATAACAGGATATGGTCTTGTTTTACATATGTTAATTTTAGACCATGACCTTCATAACAGGATATGGTCTTGTTTTACATAGGTTAATAAGAGACCATGACCTTCATAACAGGATATGGTCTAATGTTTACCATAGGTTAATTAGAGACCATGACCTTCATAACAGGATATGGTCTTGTTTTACATAGGTTAATTTTAGACCATGACCTTCATAACAGTTTATGGTCTTATTTTAAATAGATTAATTAGAGACCATGACCTGTATTACAGAATATGTTCTTGTTTTACATAGGTTAATTAGAGATTATAAACTTTATTACAGGATATGGTCTTATTATACGTAGGTAATAACTAATAAGAGACAATAACCTTAACAACAGGATATTGTCTTATTTTACATAGGTTTAACCGTTAATAAGAGACCATGACCTTTATTACAGGATATGGTCTTATTTCAGAGGTTAATAAAAACAAAAAAACCTTGATAATAGAATATGGTCTTATTTACATTAGCTTTATTAACATATATGGTTATAATTTTAGATATGCAACAGAATATTGTCTTAT